GATATACAATACTTTTAGGATCGGATTTATTTGTGAAAGTGAAATTAACAAAAAACCTTTCTTCTTTTTAGATATTCTCGAAATCACGGGTTTATCGGTTTTCCCACTTCTATCTACCGAACAAAAAGGTGATTTCATTCTTTAAAAACACTCAACAGAACATACAAACTCTGTTCGATATACCCGGCTCCTCACTTGGAAATCTCCTTCCTGTAAGATATCTTAACATGTTACGGCTTACTTGAGAAACTCCATGGCTGATTTTAAACAAGTTTGTTAACAAACCTACAATAGTTACCTACCTAAATGTCCGATAGTTACCTACCTAAATGTCCAATAGTTACCTACCTAAATGCCCGATAGTTACCTACCTAAATGTCCAATAGTTACCTACCTAAATGTCCAATAGTTACCTACCTAAATGTCCGATAGTTACCTACCTAAATGTCCGATAGTTACCTACCTAAATGTCGGATAGTTACCTACCTAAATGTCCAACAGTTACCTACCTAAATGTCCAACAGTTAGCTACCTAAATGTCCGATAGTTACCTACCTAAATGTCCAACAGTTACCTATCTAAATGTCCGATAGTTACCTACCTAAATGTCCAATAGTTACCTACCTAAATGTCCAATAGTTACCTACCTAAATGTCCAATTGTTATATGCCTAAATGTCCGATAGTTACCTACCTAAGTGTCCAACAGTTACCTACCTAAATGTCCAATAGTTACGTACCTAAATGTCCAATAGTTACCTACCTAAATGTCGGATAGTTACCTACCTAAATGTCCAATAGTTACCTACCTAAATGTCCGATAGCTACCTACCTAAATGTCCAATAGTTATCTACCTAAATGTCCAACAGTTACCTACCTAAATGTCCAACAGTTACCTACCTAAATGTCCAACAGTTACCTACCTAAATGTCCGATAGTTACCTACCTAAATGTCCGATAGTTACCTACCTAAGTGCCCAACAGTTACCTACCTAAATGTCCGATATATTCCATACCTCAGAATATGGATTTTCACTGTTACAGCTCCATATCAAGAGAATTACAAACCCAAGTTGGTTTTAAGTTGTCCTTACTATTTTAATCCTTCTCTAACAACAACGACAGCCTCCCGACCTCCTGCTGTTTATGGCTCGTAAATTTATTCAAGTGCGGAGATTATAAGGCCTTCTCTTGAAGTACGAGCTTATAAACTTATGGATTTGTGAATTGAAATGGATAATAAACTCAGCAACTGCAACCATTTCTCAATAAGTTAGCACAATGTAAACACGGAATACAAGATCCGTGTATTGAACTTCGGCGTTTTAGAAACTCCTAAATTTGAATTTAATTACTAAATAAAACATATTTTGATAATCGAGTAACGTCTCCATACACCTAACAATTCACAATCGTCTTTCGAATTAAACCAATTCTAACTTGGTTGTCATTTTTATACTCGTTTTTTCAATGTTGGTCTTTTTATGTAATCTGATAACTTTGTAATCATTCCTGTTTCTTCTCGATTACTGATAGTGGAAGATACGCTATTCCGAAACGTTCAATAAATACGTTTTCCATTATTAGTGTCGTCCTCTCATTTTTGATCAAGTTTTATGGCTTGAGTTACTTTTAATTTATGCACGAACACTGTACTTTATGGAAAAACAAAAGACTATTACAGATACCAACATTCCTTTATCACCTGCGAAGACATTAATATAGCTTGGTCAAACGCTGATGTTCACTACCATGCGTCGTTGATGACCAACCGAAGCGAAGCAATGGACTTCTTCTTACTTCTTCAGAGGCATCATGTGTAAATCTGTATTCCTAATGTCAGATTATAAACAAAAAATGATGCTAAACAGATAGTGATCACGAGAGGAAAGAAGGAAGATGTTGGAAAACAGGGAGAACCTTCACTTCCCATTACAAAAATAGTAATGGTTAACAACTTATTGAATCAACATGTACGTTGGCTTGAGAACTCATTATTTAGCTTTCTTGGCAGATGTAGGTAAATAGTTTACTTAACTAATACTAAAGGCCGTCCTAAAATGGTCATTTATTATTTCGTTCTACAAATCAGAAATTGACATTTTCCCTCTGTTCTCAGACTAATATATTTAAAAACAAAGCAATCAATGTTGGAATGTAATAATAACCTCAATAGTAAGTCAGTTTTATGTTTTGTGTTTTCAATATAACATATAGCAATCACGCTATAATCAAATATTTAGTCTTCCTGTAACCTGTGATATATGATTGGTTTTGTTTTTTATCCAAAAGAACACGGATATTCACACTTTTTGTCACAGGTCGACTTCCTACAAGAAAACGCATTAACTGATAGAAGCGAGACTTTAGAAATGTCAATCCTGAATCATAAAGTGGAGTTCAGTCGAGACTTCGTGAACAAGATACCGGAATGACATTAGTAGAGCGTATTTAGGCTCTGGAAAAAGACGCCATTTCTGCAGTTGGAAGAGTATAGTGTCTCTATGTGTTTGTGTTTTTTTTATAGATTACTTTGTACGTGACAACATTAGTTGTGAAGGAAACGTGTAGGTTTTGTTGATATGTACATACCACAACGTTATCAGGTGATCTAGTCACCATATAAATATATAGAACTTAAAAGATGTTTGAAAAAGAGATACCGATGTTTACGCTGATCGTTAGGCTTTCGGCATTATTCTGATATTCACACATATGATTAATTTAGAGAAATGTTTTCGCATTCATCTAGTGATTTCAAAGATAACGGTTCATTCCCGGTAACATGTCGTTAAAACTCTTGGGAGAAAAAGACAAATGTAGCGGCAACAAAATTCTCAGCAGTTACAAAAGAAAGCTTCAAAGCACAACAAAGAGTGTAAACCTTCGGCAACTCATGAAAGAGCGGCTTTCCTTGATCGCGGAAAGCAAAGAAGTAAAGTAGATCACAAATAAAGCGCTTTTATCAATTCACCAGGGGATTTTCATTGTGTGAATAGAAATTGAGCGCCCTCAATTTCTGTGTAGAATACAATCACTAACAGCACTGATTACGATACTATCTTCTGTTGACCACTGTTTTACAACCCCCCCCCTTCTTCAAAGCGCGTCGCTCTAAAATATCTTTTTGTATCAACCTAATGACATCGCTTGAAGCAAAATTAGCCTTCCATTATGTAAGAGCATTTGTTTGTTTTCAATTAATGCCTTTGATACAAATTAAACCATTCGAGCAACAGCTTTATGGAAGTCCACAGAACCCTTCTAATGGACCCAGTACACCGAACAACCGATTTTATGGGTATTCTTAATCGCGCATACAATTAAAGTATGAAGAACATGCTCTTTGAAAGGGAAAGTCATGTAGCCGTGTATTTTACGATTCCCATAATGATTTCAAATGTAAACAGTTTTTATTCACAGTAAACCACTATACACTCGTTCTCGTACAGATATAAAAACTAAAACTTAGCGAACGTTTATAACAGCGACAAAAACACGACTTGTAAAAAAGCAAAACAAAATTTGTTTCTGAATGTCAGTATATACTTTTCTTTGCCTTTAAAGATACAGCGTTAAAAGAAGTATCCCTTTTCAAGGAATAGCACGAGAAAGTCTGTAAGCCAAAAGGATAAATTACTGTTCATATTGTTTAATTTCACAAAGAGTTTTCTCATTCAATGCTTTCTAACAACTCCAAGATAATTTTGCACACTATTTAAAATATTTTCTAAAAGTCTAGGAACTAGATATCAATCTATCATCTTCGCTTTTTTAACTTTCTAATAAATCTCCAGTATTAGGAAGTTTATTTCATAATTTCGTATTTAAATCTAAATTCCGAAATTACATAGTTCATCTCATATCGTTCAAACACTACCAATTCTTTGGAATTACTATCTATCATATAGTTTCATAAGAATTTATGAAGAAATAATTATAAAATAAAATTTTAAATTGGGAAAATATGCACCTTACTTATAGCAAACACTTCCTTTCCATTACTAGTTATCGAGCTGAGCTGTGGGGCTGAACTTCCCTGGTTTGCGTTTAGTTACCATAAAGAAAAATATAAAAAATCGCGCTCTGTACTTTCGGGCTATGGGTGAGTTATAAGAGTAACGGTTTGACAAGAGTACTCAAAAATAAAGCGGTGTCAACTAGCTGCCTTCCTCCTGGGCTAACACAGGTAAACCTCGTGTAGCTTTGCGTGAACTCCAACAAACAAACTATTAGATTCCAGGAGACGAGAACTTTCATGAAAGATGACAATGAATGTGTTAAAAAGTACTCGAAATCTAAACGAAAACTAATATGAATGGCCATTCTGTTTAAAGAAAAGTCCACGCAAAATATAAAAATACCGAAACTATTTAAGAATCAGATTCTAAAAATTCACGCTTATAAGAAATTAGATACCGTCACCATTGTGTATTAAAAGTGTAATTTAAGCTTACTATACTATAAGAACTAATATTTTGATCTCGCATTTATTATAAAATACTTTCAACAAACCTTATTAAAGAAGTAGGTTACAGAAAACTGATCGCAGTTAAGCAGACAGCCTGAAGTTGAAGCCAATAGAGTAGAATAGCAAGGTTTTTAACTTTGCTGTAACAAATTATCCATCAATAAAAAAATGAAATAGTTGGTTTAATATAAATCTCTAGGGATAATATACAAAAATACTAACTCTAAGCAAGTGAAACAAGTAACTATTTCTTTTTAACGTACTAGACTAATAAGCAAATATAGCATATACGTTTCCCAGCCTTACAGTTCAGTTACCTTTCTATAAGCAAGTATAGCATATACGTTTCCCAGCCTTACAGTTTAGTTACCTTTCTATAGGCAAGTATAGCATATACGTTTCCCAGCCTTACAGTTTAGTTACCTTTCTATAAGCAAGTATAGCATATACGTTTCCCAGCCTTACAGCTTAGTTATCTTTCTATAAGCAGGTATAGCATATACGTTTCCCAGCCTTACAGTTTAGTTACCTTTTTATTTTCTTTCTTCTATTTTCACGTAGTCGATGTAAGATACCACCTGTAAAAGAAAAACATATGACAGTTCTCGCCAAATTTCTCGCAAATTATTACAAAAGTAAGCAAATATGATCAATCATATTTTTCATCTTCAGTCTCGTTCCATTCTTCTTAATGGCTTTAATATAACCACGTATTACTAGTTTCGTAAAAAGTATCATAATAGCTATTGAGACTTGAGGCCCAAGTTGAACATGTTCTATTATTTTTAATGTATATATAAATCCATGCTTTGTTTTGATTTTGTTTTTGGTTTTTACAATTTTTAGCACAGCTGACAAATGTAATTCTAAAAGAAGTGAAAGTGTAATTTATATATAGTTTTCTTAAAAGCTTTTTCAAACACAACCTTAGAAAACGTGATTCTGTGGGTAACAAACGCCGCTAAGTAATTTTTATTCATAATAGCGAGTTTTAATTGAATGCTATTATATATTCAAACGTATTCTTTAGTTCTGCTATAAAGTAACTCAATGCGTTTTAAAATATCGTATTTTTCTTTTTTTATTAACTTCTATTATTATATTATATTATTCTATAATATTAACTACTTAGAGCGAAACTAAAATTCATGTTCCAATATTTCTCATATCATTATTTTGCTAAATATGTTTCATTAGCAAAGTACAAAATAACATTTGTTGTGTGTTACATTCAATCCAAAAGCATATATTATATTTTATACTTGAACATACTTTGTTAGTGTTGTATAAAATAATTTGTTAATCAGTCCAGCTGAAGTAGAAATTAGCAGTTAGCTAATACTGTATGCTATTTTTTTATATAATGAACACATGTCATACTCAGAGACAAATATTTAAACAGGTTTTCTTGTTAGGTAGTGATAAATATGGACAGAACGGTTAAATTGTATTTGAACGACAAAAAAAATACTACAATATAATTCAGTCATTGAGATTTGACGTAATTAGCATACTTAATAAATAATAAACTAATTCTGTTATCCATTCTCCCTTCCAAAGATGGATACTGCTCTTATGACGCTGATCTTCAGATGTAAGACCAATTCTCGAATAGTAACAGTTCTTCCAAGGTTTCAAGAAGACACCTATATCATTGTTTAACATTAAATTGTTCTTCAGCTGACGTTATCTAATTGTCTCCTGGATAATTAAAAGTTTTTAGATACGAAGTCCATACCATATGAATGAAGTTAAATAAGAAAATGAAATTAATAACAAGTCACAAGAATTACGAAATATATTACTTCTTTCCGCCTTATATAATAAAAACAAAATTCTGTTTTCGTCGTGTCGAATAATTCCTTCTGATATAATAACAGACGAAGAGTATTGTATTTCGAGTCCAAATAACACTATTTATGTCGATGTCGACAAAATCAACCAACTGTTATCATTATCATACAGGAAAAAAGCGATAACTGTCATATATTTTTTCGTCTTGAATGATTACACATAAAATATATATGTTCAGTCAGTATCATAAACCCATGTATTTTTGTATGGATAGTTTTATTCCAATGCAATTTAAAATTAATTTGATACAGATTATTGTTCTTCGTACCAATCAAATTTATCAAACATTTGAGTTTTCAAAATCAACTACATAAGTTAAAGCTTGATACATGGTATTAATTCTGTGATTCAACGTTTTCTCAACAGCGTCAAAGCCTCTCCAGTAATATTATGTACTGTGCCCAACGTATCACTAGCAGTAGCCCTTCTGATAAGATGTACTGTCCCCAACATATCACTAGCGGTGGCCCTTCTGATAAGATGTACTGTCCCCAACATATCACTAGCGGTGGCCCTACTGATAACATGTACTGTCCCCAACATATCACTAGCAGTAGCTCTTCTGATAACATGTACTGTCCCAAACATATCACTAGCTCTCTTCTGATAACATGTACTGTCCCCAACATATCACTAGCTCTTTTGATAACATGTACTGTTTCCAACATATCCCTAGCGGTGGCCCTTCTGATAAGATGTACTGTCCCCAACATATTACTAGCAGTAGCTCTTCTGATAACACGTACTGTCCCCAACATATCACTAGCGGTAGCCCTTCTGATAACATGTACTGTCCCCGACATGTCACTAGCTCTTCTGATAACATGTACTGTACCCAATATATCATTAGCTCTTTTGATAATATGTACTGTTTCCAACATATCACTAGGGGTAGCACTTCTGATAACATGTACTGTTCCCAACATATCACTAGCTCTTCTGATAACATGTACTGTCCCCAACATATCATTAGCGTATGGCCCTTCTGATAACATGTACTGTCCCTGACATATCACTAGCCCTTCTGATAACATGTACTCTACCCAACATATCACTAGCTCCTTTGATAATATGTACTGTCCCCAACATATCACTAGCAGTAGCTCTTCTGATAACATGTACTGTCCCCAACATATCACTAGCAGTAGCCCTTCTGACAACATGTACTGTCCCCAACATATCACTAGTTTTTCTGATAACATGTACTGTTCCCAACATATCACTAGCTCTTCTGATAACATGTACTTTGCACAAAGGATCACTTACAATATCTCTCTACTGATACCATGTACTATAACAAAGATATCACTAACAATACCCCCACCCCAAATGATAACATATATAATATAACTTAAATACCTCCATAGTTACCAGCTGTATTGTGCCCAAAATACATGTCAGTAAATAACATAGTTAAACACTACCCGTAAGCATAATCAAGGACAACTTCGGAATTTAAAATTAGTTTGCGAAATTGTTTGACAGAAAAAGGTTATTCACTGTATATATAGGTTCAATTACACAATTTTTAATCTCACACACTGGTTCAATCAAAAGGTTATTCACTATACAGAAAGACTCAAACTCACTTTTATTCTTTATGTATTCTGGTTCAATCACTGGGTTATTCAATATATATATATATATATACACTATTTCAATCAAAAGGTTTAATCATGAACTTATACACTATATATTCTCGTTCAATCACAGTGTTATTCAGTATATATTTATTCACTGTATACATTGGTTTAACCATAAATTTGCTTTGTCTTTTGGTTTAGTCAAACGTTTATGCCGTTGAAAGGCTCAGTTAATGTTTATAATATCAGCAGATTCAATAGCATACATATTGCAAAATCACAAACTTATAGTTAACGCAAATCATCACAACTTTATTCACTGCACAGACTCAATCAAAAGTTCCTTATACACAGATTTAATCAGCTGTGGCTTTTATTCTTTACAACATAAACAGTTGATGAAATTGTAAGCATAAAATCACCTATTGTTCTATTTGGTAACGCTTTACGTCTGAAAATCATGTACTTTAAAATCTAAGTTTACATTATATACATTAAACGAAATATATGTATTGTTACCACTACTCTGGAGAAATCTCTGGTACATTCTAATGTCACAGACAATAATGATATGTTAAACAGAACGATAGTTCTGTAGCCAGAATTTAGATAGAAAAATAATAAACTGCTGTAGTCTTTTCGATTTAAATAGCTTGTTCATCATGTATAATTATGCATGTCTATTATTATTCTCTAGAATTAAAAATTCAAATGTTCTGCTTTTCCTGAATATTGCGCACCTTTAAAACAGGTATACATACTTTTTTTCCCAGATTAGCCTAACTTCGATTGTAGAGTTTTGTAAAGTTTCAGAAAATTTTCAACACCCTCAGTTTTTGTCCAGGAAAAGAAAAATATGAAAAGGAAAGTTCAATGTGCATTATTTTGCAAAATTTGGTTATCAAAATGGAAAATCTGCTTTAAAATTCCTTTTATAATAATCCGTATTACGCTATTATTAGCCGTTAAGGGAAGCAAGTCCAAATAGTAGGCACGTAAATGTACAATACCGAACGCTGGGCTGCGCACTTGCAACGCGAGCACTTTGCAATCACGGCCAACAGATCCTTACATTATCCCTCGCAAGTTTTACGATACATACTAACCGTAGCACTAGCAGTATGACGCACTTTGAAGTTCATTCTTATGCCACCGCTGATCGGAAATTAGTCTTAAATCCCAGTCTTACAGGAAGTCCCAATACACTTCATAAAAGGACCTGTCCTCCAGCCTTCGAAGCAGGTTGAAATTAATCTAAAATCGCTTAAGCAAAAAAAAAGTTATGCTTTAGCTGAAACTGTGATTATGAGATATTCCATAGTGCTTAAAATAAAGTAGAATTTTGTTGTTTTGTTTTTGCTCAGACGTTTTTGGATAGAAAACATTAATTTACACAGGAACATGGTTTTACTCTTTTCCATACTTGGCGATATTCTCCAACATTCTGATGCATTATGTGGAAATTGGTATGACATAACAATTCAAGATTCTTAACTTCATCTCCCATAGAAATTTTACCATTTGCCAGCATGTTTTTCATTTTTAGAAATGCGTCTTTTATCATCAATCTTCTCCGTTTTATTTCATGATCCCATTTACCATCTGATGTTATCCAGCTTCCAATGTAGTTGAATTTATTGATCTGCCTTATCTGTTCCTTATCTACTTTGACAATGTTTACAGGAATGATCTTCTTCTTTGTAATTACCATAACTTATGTTTTTCTACAGTTAATACTTAAACCATTCTTCTCACGTTCACTAACAACTTTATCTACAATTTTTTGCAGCTTCTCTTCCTAACCAGCTATTAAAACTGTGTCATCAGCATAACACAAGTTGTTCAAATTCTGTCCGCTGATGATCTACATATTAGTTCCATCTTTTAGTTGTTTCCCTTTAAAAAGGTTTAGTTAAACAATAGTAATTACAGGGTAAATATTTTGGGTTAATGCAACACACAAAAATGCGTGAAATTAATCCAAAATCGTTCGAGCGAAACAAAAAGTCAAAGTTATGCTTTAGCTGATGCTCTGCTTATGAGATATCCCATACTGCTTGAGATAATGCCAAATTTTGTTGTTTTGTTTTCGCTCAGACGTTTTTGGGTAGAATACTTTAATTTACACAGGAACATGATTTTACTCTTAATATAGCTTTATATTTTCAGTATAATATGTAAGTTTGCTTTTATTTTCATTGTTGTCTCTCCAAACCATCAAAACCATTTCTAATAGCGCAACGCCTCTCTATACTCTCTTTTTATATAATGTGAAAAAAAAAACTTTGATGTAGTTTAGTGCTAGTTTTAATAAATGCCATTTATTTTATTTATAGATCGCGATAATGTGCGATTTTAACATTGTAGGATGAAAAACTTCCTGCAATTTTATAAAGAATTAATTAAACTAAAGTTAATACATTCTTTCCAACGCGATTCGTACGGCACACCACAGATGCATTGCCTAAGGACTGTTTTCAATCAAGTAATGAACTTTCAAGAAATTTTAAGTAGGAATAGAAAAACAGAATTTTCCAAGTTTTTAATAAATGAAACTGTAATCATTAAGAAAAGTGATAGTTTCGTAAACCCCCGGGGAAAAGAAATGTGTACTTTGGACAAAGGGGGAGAAAAAGTAGTGTGGACAAGTTCTGACTCTACTCCTGTTTGCCAAACTTTATATTCAAAGTAAACATTGATCCACTTTGAAGTTTATTCATACGCCACCGCTGGTCGGAAATTAGTCTTAAATACCAGTCTTACAGGAAGTCACAATACACTTCATTAAGGGACCTGTCCTCCAGCCTTCGAAGCAGTTTACCTCAGTCACAGTTGAATAGCAACGATAACAAAGTCCACGTCGTTCCGTGAGCTGAAGGTTCTGCACCTAGCTGAGTTTGACAATAGGCACAATCAGCCACAAGCTTTGCTAGCAACAGTTCATCTCCTGTGTAGCAACCAGCGTTTAATTTGTGGACTGGAAACTACAATGGGCATGGTAGCGGGAGAGCAAGAAATAAATGAAGACCTAACAGTCTTCTTTTCTTCCAGTGAAAATTGCAGTGCTAATGTAGACCATGCTCATCCAAAAAAAAAAGTTGAGTTTTATTCAAATTTCTTCACTACCCGGTGTTACTGACATGGCAAATACACAATTACTAAAATAACTCTCGTCCTACTACGTTAAACCACCAACAGTCTTCTTATCACAGCAAAACCAAGAAATAAAGAAAAAACACCTAAGGACAACAGATCGCAACGTGTTATAGTACACGTGTTAGAATGAAAAAACAGATTTTATCTGAATGAAATGCAAGCTTACTTATTATAATGAAGTTCATATCACTTTGCAACATATTTACCTTGATGTATAGTTACTGGATTACATGTATTCCTTTCCGAGACTAGATAAGAATGTGATCAGAAAATGTATCACAAGTGAAGGATTTAAGTTACAAAAAACAAAAGTAAAAATATTTGAGTAAGATTCACCTAATGGGAACCGAAAAGTATTTATTTCTTTGATAGACTCGAAGCTGTTGGAGAAAGATTCAACATGTTAGAAACGTCGAGCAATCAAACAAAGATAGTGCCAATACAATAAGAAGTGACAGACATTGTTTCAAAGCTGTGAAAAACGCAGTAACAGATATTAATTGGTACTGTAAGTATAGTAAGAAGTAATGTACTTAATATTAGAGCTGTCAATTAAGAACTCAATGGTGGATATTGCTTGGCTACTCTAAATATAGTATTAAGAATGACAGATGACACGTTGGATTGCTTAGAGTATGATGCACTGCGTTAGAGCTGCCAAGCATACAGTGATAAAGTGACTATTGGCTCAAATTTCAGTGGTTTAAAATGTTTGTGCAGTTTTCAGGATACTTAAAATGTTTGTACAGTTTTCAGGATACTTTGGTACTGTAGCACAAATAATATTCTAAATAATAACTAATTACACTTAATGTAATGAATAATTATAGTTTTACAATGAAGTACAAAATCAATCTTTAAACCAAAAAATAAAAAATAAAAATGTGAATAAACTCTATTAAACTCTATTATGAACAACGATTCTACATATATTACAAAATATTGCGCCATAAAAGAATTAACTAATTGCTGGAAGATCTGTGAAGGATATAATTGTAAGAATATACAGCCTACCAACAAGTAAATATACAACTACTCCAAAATGTATTTGACTTACAATTATTAAGTCTTGTTATTTTTCGTGCTTACAGGATTCTAAAATCTGGTGTGTGCGACTACACTTCATTAATAAGTTGAATAAAGTTGTCCCTAAAGGTTGGTTGTATAAGACGTTACTGCAGTGAACGATCATGGATAATCACAGGTGCTCTGTATGAGTTTATATCCAACGATAGGCCTTGCCACGGAAGACTTGTAATATTCCGACCTGCAAGCCGCATTTTGCATGAAAACACTGCCTTATCTGGTAAGCTGGTCATTGATAAAGATTACCATGGTCAGGAATTGTGACGTAATCAATCCTTCGAATACCACCAGCTGCACCTCACACCATAACAGAAATATTGCTCGGTTTTGCTGTGGCTTACAGACGGTTCATCTAAAATTCCTGGAAGGACGGTAAGCAAACCCAGGTGCTTCTCCGACAGTTGTACAAGTTTGAACTAAAATCAATTCACCGTCCCCAAGATGCAGGAGGATGTGGTAGTTTTTATTATGCTCCCTGCTTTCGACGTACATTACTTCTGAAGTGAGGAGTGGCTTCCGTCTAGCTACTCTTTCATACTATGTAGATCACTTATGGGAGTATTAGGGCACAGTTGCACCTGATATAGGTCATCCTACACACTTCTCTCATAACACGAAAAGCTCGTTCTGTTTTGTTTTGAATTTTCTTTAGCGCTCAGGTAGATTGTTTGTTTGTTTGTTTTTTTAATTATGCACAAAGCTACGCAAGGGCTATCTGTGCTCTGCCCACCACGGGTATCGAAACCCGGTTTCTAGCGTTGTAAGTCCGCAGACATACCGCTGTGCCACTGGGGGCGCTCAGGTAGATTTTGTACGTGAGTGTGATAATAGCTCTTGGACAATCAAACAGATGCTTCTGTTTTTGAAATGCATAACGTAATCACTTAATACATTCGGTTTTATTAATTTTCATAATGGATGTCAGTTATTCTCTTAATGCTGCTAATCTGTACTTATTTCTTTATTAAAATCTACGGGCCTGAACATGTCCTAATGGTTAAAATGTCAGAGAGGGACCTGAAAGATCCAGGTTCGAAACGTTATACTACCAAACACGCAACACACTTTTAGATATATGTATGTGTTATCTCACTATTCGGTTGAGGATAATCTCTACATGCGGCAAATGTTGCCGACTGGTTACTGTCCCTATGATCCGGAGTTTAAAATTAGAATGGCTGTGACTACAACATAAGTGGCTCATGAAAATATATTTGTAACTGTATTTTTCCGATAATTCTGAGATAAAGCAAGAGCTCCCTGAAGTATGTTTCTTCATGAACAGATAAGTAATTTTACGATATTGAATCTTCTGTTAATATTCAGACTTAGATATTTTATTTGAGACTCGTTTGTCTAATCTCGCCACATTTACAAAAAAACTAAAAGTTACTTTTTATTTCAAGTTTGCATTGTATTATAATAGAGTGGTTATTTATGTTTCCCTTAGGAATATTATGTTTTCTTAACTTATGTAACTTGTAAAAGTTTTTCAATCAATAGCAAAGCCTCTGTTTTTTTTGTTTTTTTTTCCATTGCTTATAATTTCTATTTGTCGATTTAATGAAAGACTTAAATTTTAATGGATGTCAATACTTGGAAATTTTGAAATGCTACAAATGCACTTGTGCATTTGTTAAACACAGAGGTGCTTAATGGGCTATCTGTGGTGTGCCAACCGCAGAGATCGAGACTAAAATTTTGGTGTTATAAGATCTCTCCTTATTGCTGAGCCACCGAGGAGCAGGGTGTAGTACAATATATATATGAACGCTTGTTTTACAAATTTTCTTCAAGTCATTTGCTAAGTGATTGTTTTTATTATCAACGCAAGCAATGGTTTTGTCCGCTAAGTAATGTATAAAGTAAAATCATTGTTTGGTTTTGTTCCGCTAAGTAATG